GCTGGCGGTTTAGCAATCTTTGACAGGCCTAAAAAGCGGACGCCAACATCCACACCATCTCGAACAAAGGGGAAATCAAAAGAAAGCGGTACAACCGCGGCCAGTCCGTTTCCACGACTTAGCCAAAAGTCACTGTTTCTTGCGCTGTATGCGCGATACCTCTCTGGAGAGAAGCGCAAGGATGAAGAGAGCGAGATGGTCTTGGGTCCAGCAGATGGTGGACAGACAGTCAACCGAGAACTTCCAGCACTGGCAAGAGGACTGGAAGCATATTTCCAAGTCCGAGATGCGGCCGATCCACAACTCAAACGAGCTCAAGGATGGCTCGAATATCTGTACGGCACTGTCCTCTCCAAATCACGACAAGAGAAGCTTGCACAGCAATGGCTTCTCCGTTCCGTGCGACTCAACCCCTACCACTGGGGGGCATGGGAGGAATTAGCAACCCTACTCTCGTCCATCGATGACCTCAATACCCAACTTTCGCCTTCTGTCCTACCCCAAAATCTCATGAGTATCATGTACCAGGCTTATGCCTCTGTTGACCTCTTCTCCACCAGCGACCAATCCACAACCTTGAACTATCTTCGAATTCTCCTGAACTACTTTCCAAACTCCACATTCTTACTTACGCAACTCGCACTTAGCTACTACCACGCCAAAGAATACGAGTCCTCCGCCTCCATATTTCAAGAATTGCTGGTAGCCCACCCTCATCGTCTGGACGGACTCGACCACTACTCGAACATCCTGTACGTAATGGCAGATCGGCCCAAGCTTGCGTTTCTCGCTCAACTCGCCACGTCTGTCGACAAATTCCGCCCAGAAACATGCTGCGTGGTGGGAAATTATTATTCTCTTTGTTCCCAGCACGAGAAAGCAGTCATGTACTTCCGACGCGCCCTGACCCTGGACAGAAGCTTTCTATCGGCATGGACACTAATGGGCCACGAGTACATCGAGTTGAAAAACACACATGCTGCTATCGAAAGTTATAGACGCGCCGTCGACGTCAATCGCAAGGACTACCGTGCTTGGTACGGTCTAGGTCAAGCGTACGAGGTTCTTGACATGAACTTTTATGCGTTGTTCTACTACCAGCGTGCCGCTGGACTGAGGCCATATGACCCTAAAATGTGGCAAGCAGTCGGATCCTGTTATGGGAAAATGAACCGGCTGGATCAAGCTATCAGAGCCCTAAAGCGTGCTCTTGTGGCGGGGACCTATATTGAAGAATCCACCTCCGCGCAGTCAAGTTTCAATGCAAACAGCAGTGTTTCAAGCAATTTGGCTTCCAACCCAAAACGCGGAAAGTCTACTCCCCAGGCGAAACCAAAGCAACAGAAAGCTACACGCAAACTTCTCGACCCAGACAACCTCTACCAAATCGCCCTCCTGTACGAACGGCTCGGCAGCACTGAAGGTGAGAGAGAGGCAGTCCATTATATGGAGCTCTGTATCGCACAGGAGACGGGAGGAAGCCACATGAGTGTTGTAAAGGCAGAGAAAGCACTTCGCAAACGCCAGCAGAAAGAAGATAGAAAGACTGCTGTTGCAGAGGAACGCAATGCCAGAGTGGCGCAGACGCGTGCGGCTGGTGGGGGAGATATGGAAGTTGATGCCGGAGAAGAGGCAGCCGGTGCTGATGATGATACGGAAATCATGTCCTCCTCGCCTGCATCCCCTGCTTCGCCAGCAGCGTCTTCACCGTCACTGTCCGACGCCGAAAATATCGACGAGACCAACGCGGCTAGTGGAGGAGACGGCTTTGGCACAGGTACAACTGCCACAACCTCCAAAGCCCGCCTGTGGCTTGCGCGCTGGTGGCTGAAAGCAGGTGACTTGGACCGTGCAGAAAGATTAGCTGAAGAGTTATGCATGGATGGATATGAAGTTGAAGAAGCAAAGGGTCTGGTCAGAGAGGTCAGAGGGAAAAGAGAGGGGCTGTCCAGCGGACGTGGTGCGGGCTTGGATCTGTTTCAACCATCAATGACCTGACACGCTAGTTTCAAGCATGTGTCAGCCCAGCAGAGACGGCTGGTTTGTAAGAGCAGGGACAGGGTTGAACGAATTATGAGCCTACGATTGAGTATGATATGATAGCAGTCAGCCTGATGATTTGCCCCGCACAACGGTGCGAGGTGCGAACGTGCGAGGCTGTATCGGTATAAGAGCGTGCAGAGTGAGATGTCAGCAGAGATCTCCTGTAACAACACACCCAGCGAACTGGGTAATCTAAACCCCATTAATTCTTCCAGTCGCTTTCACCCTTGGAAGAAGCCGCTGCAGCTCTCCGCATGCACATTTCGTTATGGAAGCGAGCGGACCATTGTTGCGTCGTGTTGTTAGGGCTGGGGTTCAGTTCCAACCAGGTAATTCTGGAGTCCGTGGCACTAATTGAGATTCTCCACTTCTATCGTCGCTTGCAAAACCGAGCTCGAGTTCAACAACTTGATACTATTCCACGTCGTGACACAGAGAGGGAGGAGGGAAGAAAGGGTGAAATGGACAGATAATTCACGGCCCTCCCTCCCTCCCTCGCTGCAAGCCCACACGGCTTAGAGCAGTCGATTACCGAACAGTGGAAAATAAAGGGCGGTGCAATAACGAGGACGAAAAGCACGGTGGGCAAGCAACCAGGAGAGCAGGATCGAGGACATACAAGATGAGCCAGCGACATCGAAGAGGGCTCCGCGGTCCTGACGCTCGGGTCCGGATCGGTCCCAGGGCGATGCGATGGGGGGACAAACAAGCTGCATGCAGAACAGGGCGAGTAGATGGCATGTAACGACGCCAGAGCGACAGTGGGGTTGGAAGTACTTCACGAGGTCATCTGGTGGCATCTAGTATGCTGGACTAGGTACGCTATGGTAATATCAGGTAGGAAAAGACAGGGCCGTACGCAGAACAGTCAAGATGAGATAAATCATGTTGAGGAGGATGTTGGCTTGGCCGTTCATTTCCGCCATACTTGGCTCCTGGACAGGCGGTTCATGCTGAGGAGCTAGTTTGGCACAGCAACGATCCTCTTCGTCGGGACGAGGCTGAGGGTGCAAAGGGGGAAGTGAGAAAGCCGAGGTAACCGAAGATAAGCGAGGCATATCAGTCAAACACTCCCAGCTCAAGGTATGAAGAGGAAGGGCATGAATCGTCTGGAGAGAAGAGCATCATTTATTACATGGACTCATCAGCGGGCCCTTTGTTGACAGCCCTTTGTCACCACCATTGCCGCCATTATCAATGCCATCCCGGGCACGCCCTCAGCATTACCACCACCGTTTCCATCAGCACTTGAGTCCCCACTCAGCATTCTCTCTCCAACCCTGCTGTTGCCCAAAGGAGTGTGAGTTGTGAAAGAACAGGGCTCCCAACCTTTGTGCGTCCCTGTCACGTCTTTGCTCCATAACCGTGATCATGCTGTGCAGCTCTGGCTATCAATACTTTGAACCCGTAATGTCATGTCGTAGGAGGTTGAGTGGGTCAAGTCACATAGTGCGACTTTGGCGGATGGAAAAGGGCTGCATGGCCAGGTTGTTGGGAGGAGGCTGTCCCAAGTATCAGTTATCTCAAGAGTTTTTGAGAAGAGAGGAGCCAAATCGTGCAGCTGTCTCCCGATCACAGAAGATCTGAACAATGAAGAATTTCACATCTTTCTGACAGTATGAACCCGACAATCAATCCTCGCACTTTGGACGTAGTTGTCCCAGATAGGATATTGTCCCCATGCGGTGATGGCAACTTTCCACCCGGCACCCATAGTTCTGATGAGGTTTCTGATGTCTTCATCTTCATCGTTGTAGTGCCAGATGACCGTATGGGTCTTGAAATCCTGGCCCGCATGAATGTTGGTGACGATCTTTCTTGGTGGGAAGTTGAAATCTGGTTCAGGTTGAGATTTCCATATTGGCTGTCTCCTGATCGCTTTGGAGGGAGTGATCTTGACTTCAAACCAAGTCTTGCTGTTCCTGTATGTGCCGACATCCTGCAACTCATTGCTGTGACCCTGATCACAAGAAGTGATGATGAATGTAAGAGAACGTAATGCTTTGGGTGGCATCGTAGCAGGAAGTTCAGTCTCTAGATAGACCACGCCTGGTCTGTGGCCGCTGACACCGTGCTCTCGCGCAGTAACTTTGAAAGGCTCAGCGTCTACTTTCGATGCCAGAGGGACGTCATGCCACAATTCGGCCATGTCAAGAATCTCCGGAACCACGTCACGGTCCACGACCCGAGACAGAATCATAGCAGTGCGGTAGACGTCGCGGTTACAAGGGCCCTTGGGCTCCAGGGGAGCTGAGTAGCAGATTTCATCACATTTCTGCAGGGCTCGCTCGGCGTATGGGCGGACGCGCTTTGGCAGGTTCGGGATCAGGAGGTACCGGATGATGAGTGGCAAGATTATGTTGAGGACAAGTTTGAAGAGGATGAGTTTGAGAAGGAAAAAGTAGATAGCCCAGAGCCCAAAGAGGCCCAGGAGAAGATCATTCAACAACATATTCAAGAAATGGAGGGTCGGCAGGAGGATGGCAATACGACGGCCATTGATTAAGAGGAAGGGTGAGGGCTTGTAAGCTACAGAATTAGCACCCACATGGTAGTGGTGAAGTAGGGCGGCCGAGGGTGATGAGGTTAAGATACGAGAGAAGCTTAGGAGGAGGAAGAGAAGAGTGAAAGAGGACTTGAATCTTTCAAGACTCATCAGGCACGTAGGGGGGAGGGTGGGATGGGCTCCGGGGGTGTGATCGATCCCCGTTGCCTGGTGAATGGTGAAGGAAGGCCAGAAGGCCACAAGCCAGTCTGTCGAGGTAGAAGGACCACACCTGACATTACATGCCCAGGTCTATAGGGGTTGTGGGTGCCCAGACGCTTCAGTTCTGGGTACCTACCTGACCCCTAGGTACCTGGGTAGGTGCCCCCATTCAACCCTCTTCTCCGCCTCTGCCTCTCTGCCCCTCTGCGCCTTCCACTCCGACTCTCAAACAACTCTCACCGCTCAGACCTCAGACAGCAGCCTCGACGTTCTCCCCTCTCACCACCCAGACCGGATCAGCCGTGAACGATCCTTCCACCAGCGTCTGGATCTCAATGTTCCGCCATCCGCTCCACCACAGATAATCCCCAACCATATTGAGCCTTTCGTCCTCATCGACCTTCAGCCATCTGCCAACCACTTTGGTAGGAAAGCACCGGTTGGAAATGACAAGATGCACCTTTCCTCCCGGATGCGTCTGTCGTCGGATACTCTGCAGGACCTCAACGGGCTTGGTCAGGTAGTCGATGGATACCACGCATGTCGATGCGTCCAATTTGCCCTGGGTCGGGCCCGGTAAGTGTACCTCTGGATACTCGTTGAGATCTTGCACAGACCAGTGTTTCAATACAGGATTCTTGGCCAACTCGGCGCGGTTCATACCCATCCCTAGCACCTCGACTTCTCCCAACGATGCTGCCTTGGCCACCTCTGCCGGGTAATGTGAGATCCAGCTGGAACAAAAATCCAAAACTCGGCCTCTGTGGGGCAAGACTTGAGCATAGTAGTTCCGCACGTTGTTGATGGCATTACCGTCGATATGTGTCACAAACCGTGGAGCAGCATAGAAGTACGAGTCATTCCCTGCCTCCATGGGTGCGAGGTCTTCTGGGGAATATGGAAAGGGTCCATCTGGATTAGCGGGCTCGTAGCGCCTCGGGGCCATCGGGCTCGAATTCATCCTTTTCGTGGCTGCAATTACTCTTGAGAAAAGAGATATCGACCGAAGACTGGTTCTGATGGTGACAGAGGGCATTCAAACTTAGCCGACGATAGATGCAGGGCCACCAAGGGTGACGGAGCGGTTCTGCCCAGCAGACCAGATATTACTGGGTATAAATCGGCGCTTCACCTTGTGAAGGCGCTAATGAATGACGTCTTTGATTGCGACCAACCCAGGAACGGAACATTGTTTGGAGCGGATACACCAGCACCAAGGGTGAGACATCAAGGACAACTCTTCGCAGTGGACTAATATGGCTGAAGCTGATCCCTTGCAATATTGCTGGGATGATCACTGTGTCCCCGAGTCACTGTCCTTGGCCATCTTCAACGGTCAGAACGGTACATGCCCTGCAGCATCAAGGTTTGTCAGTATGAGGCACGGTCAACACGGTCAACGCGGTGCTGTCGCGAACTTACGCGTTCTGGGCCCCCTAACATAGAATCAGATTGTCGGCTGTATGCTTCTTACCACTGACGCCATGAGAGGGTGTCGGATACAAAATCCCGCTTACGCTCCTGGCAAAGACCTCAAGCTGGTGCAATGTTTTACGAGGCTTCAAGGACCCTGCATTGTTGGCTGGCGTCATAGCAATACAACGGAGTGACATGCCGGCCACTGAAGACTCTTAGAGCGGCCCTGCATGCCTGCCTCTTAAATGACCAGGTGTTGATAGCGAGAAGACATGATGTGACTTATAATCATTTACTTCTCGCTTGCTCTCTCTGCTCTCACCATCACTCCAAATAGCAGTAGCCAGTTCTCGAAAGTTACAATCAATTAAACAATTACCTGTGCCACACAAGCTTGCTGGTCTCCATTTGCGTTGCCCGCGGAGGATCATCATGTTGGAAGGCCAGTCAAGAATCGTAATAAGCGGAGCCGGCCAAGGTACAGCCTACCTGAATCATCCTTCACTATTTACATCGAAACAAGCTCACTTCTACCTAGGCATTGGAAGAGCTATAGCTCGTCATTTCGCATCTCGGGGCCACAAGATCTTCATCCTTGATCTCAACGAGGATAATGTCCGGCACACAGCTGAAGAGCACTTAAAAGAACACTCGGACCGCGTTGGTTGGTCTCGATGTAACCTCCGCAGTGTTGAAGACATCCGCTCCACTGTCCAGAAGGCCGCAAAGTTTCTCGACAATCGCATCGACTATTTGATCAACAATGCTGGCATCTCATACCCCTACTGGCCGGACGGGAAGACCATGGCTGACGAGTCCGTCCTGGACAAGTGGCAGGTGTATGTGGAGACCAACCTCACAGGTCCCTTCGTCATGTCTCAAGCATGCATCCCTTTTATGAAGGTCGACCGGCAAGAAGATAAGGAGAAGCTTCCCGGGTCCAAGGTTGGGACGGCAGGGCCTTGTATCATCCATGTCAGCAGTATTCGCGCCATGATTTCAGACCCCAATCAGGAGGGCTATGCTTCGACAAAAGGTATTAACTTGGAGTCAACCATTATCTCCATCGGGCAATACCCTAACTGACTGTCTATCTAGCCGGGTTGCTCGGACTCACTCAGAGTATGGCAGTCTCCCTACAGTCATTTGGCATCCGGGTCAACATGGTATCCCCGGGGCGAATCAAGGTAACCCATGAGAATCCCTCTGCTGATGAACACGGAGAGGATTGGTCCGTGGAAGAAGATGATGTCAACGTGCACCCTGCCAACCGAGCCGGTTTGCCCGATGATATTACTGAGGCATGTGAATACCTGCTGGGTGCAGGTTTTGTGACGGGTCAAAATCTGGTTGTCGATGGCGGAGTGAGTAAGGTGAAGGGTAAGGCGTAAAGATCCCAGAGGATGGTAGTGCCAGCAAGCAATGATGAGAGCGAATGTCTCTCGGATGCTTCTGTAGTAGATGGGCGTTACCAGGATGAAACACTCAATCTATGGCCGCTGTCCTGCTACTTACTACCTCCATGGACATCGTGCCAAGCAGACATGGATATCAGACCAGTGGAGTCGACTCTGACGGACTCGGTATCAAAAGTAGCCGAGCTCACAGGCAGAATAACAGCCGCTTACTCAAGCAGCAGATCGAGACCATTCGGTCCCATCATGTCGTCCCCATTCCTCCCCATCGTTCCACCAGTGTGCTACTCACCACTCCCCGGATTGTCGTATTCGGTCTCCCCTCATCGGTGACCGAGCTATTCGATTGGCCACTCCATATATCTGCTGACCTCATCGCTCAGAGGTGACACCAAGAGGGCGCCGTGGTCAAGAAGTTGCCCAGAAAGGACCACCCTATATAAAGCAGAAGTGGGGATTGTACGATGAGCAAAGTAGGACTCAGCATCGATGCTCGCTCGATCCTGTTCTGCTGTGACAATATCTATCTCCCCATTTACCAAAATCCGTCGCACCTGCCCAACATCTGCATTGCGTCAATTCCAGCATCTCCGAATACCAATTCGACGGACTATGGCTACTGCGTCTCACATCGAGCTGAATCCCGCCAGCGCTGGTGTCTACCATGTCCCCGATATAACAACTGAGTCTGGCAAGATTGGAAGCCAGCTTCTTCAGGAAAACCACGACCAATTCCATATCTACTTTAATAACAGCGGCTTCCATAACCATATTGCTCATCATTTGTTAAGCATTTACGCCCTAGGAGCCACTCCGGAACAGATCCAGCAGGCTTTCGACATCAACAAGTCCTATCAAAGGCCTCAGTTCCCGGTGGATAAACAGGATGTCGAAGCACTGACAGATGACGACAAGTTTAGAGAGTTTTTGGGCAAGGAGCGCTATTTCCATGACTTTGAGATCTTCTTTCAAAAAGAAATTGAGGAAAAGGGCTGGGAGAAAGTTCTGAATGAGCACTTGTTTGCGCGGAATGAGCATGCTGAGAATCTGCTTGACAGAATGTTTGCTGGTGAGGTGAGCTAGGGTGGGATCTAACGCTGATACTGACCAACAGCAGGCTTCTTACACCCCTTGATCCATCTCGGATTTGGTGTCGAGTTCAAGCAACCAGCCATCATTGTCGAAGCCCTTGCCCAAGCGGCAGTACACGATGGGTGGACAGGAAAATTCCTCCACGCCGCCGAAGATGCCGCTAAAGGCAATACTACATCGAAAAGTCTGGTGCAGCTCATCCACGAGGCGCGTGCAAATGAAAAGCTCCGCACATCTGCTCACTGGGAGGACGGCAACAAAGTACGCGATGGTGTTTTCGTCCGCGCTCCAGATGAAATGATATCACTGGCATCTCAATGGCATGTCAAGCCTGACGAGCTGGAGCAGAAAACAGCCGAGATGATCAACGCTAGCATCTATTTCGCAGGCGCAGCACAGAAACCGACCAAGCAGATCAAATTCGACTTCTTCTACATGCACTGCGTCAACTGCTCCATCTTTTTCTCTGCATTCCTCAAGGAGCCATGGTTGAAAGTGGAGGACAAGTGCAGGCTGCTGGAATGGAAGGGCCGAATCGATCTTGCTTTGTATGTGTCACGAGGATGTCCGGAGCTGCTGATAGATGAAATCAAGAACTACCAACCCAAGAACTCGAGTGACGGGTGGCCAGAAATCATCCGTCGGGTCGACAAGTTCCCTGACGATGGCCATGCCAGCAAACTTGTCCGGGCGATTGCGAACGGCGAGCAAGTGTGCAAGCAGTACGAGGCTCAGGCGGGTGATGCATTCCCCATTAAGGGAGACATGTTCTTGAGGCTGGGTCACATGGCAATCGACTCGGTGGAAAGCAGTGATCCCAACTGGGTGAGATCTGCCGGTTTTGAAGAGGCGTGGGAGAGTATTCCAGGACGGGCTAAGTTGTGAATTATCGCTGTACGTAATACTCAAGTATGACGAGAATGTAACAGTATCTACTTGTAAGTAATTAATATTGTTCTCCTTCTGTTTGATAATGCGAGGCACATCTTCGATGCCCTTGACGGCGGACAGCGAGAGAGCCCACTTGAGAGCCGAGAGAAGGTACATATAACTCAACACCCAGCTCAGGACGAGCGTGATAATGATAACGCCCCGTGCTGAACCCCCGACTCGCGCGAGCCGGTGAGCAGTCGAGCCTCTTGGGGGGAATAAGTGGCACCGCGAATAGTGACCACAATTCACACCCAGGGCAATTCTTCCCATTTCACTCAAAACTTTTGGTGCAGACTTGTGAGTTTTATTTTACCTTGATAGAACCTCAAGTCTACAGGCTACTTGAAGATATCAATATTATACATCATTACCTCAGAAAAAGTTGGTAGAGAAGGGGGCTTTGAAGTTCTGGCGTTCTAGCCATGGTGCGTTCTGACCGCGAGAGTGTGCCACTCTTTGTTTCCACAGGCTCGCTGCTTCCATCGACCGACAGTCATGTGATGTTGTCCACTGCTTTGTCTAGAGAGACGTCGTCGAGTTTCCACCAGTGCTCAAGTTCAGTCGTTTCGACCGGGCCGAGGAAATGCCTCTGGCGCCCGTCTTCTGGATTTGTGAGAGATCTAAGGGAGACCCTGGATTGAAGACAACAGTTCCGACGAGGCTGCGTACGGATTCGCCAAGCATGGGATGTTGAAGCAAAAGAAATATCTTGTTGCCCGGAGCAAGGCTGGTAGCTAAGCATTTCGATGTCTCTTGGGCCTTTAAATATTCATGTCATTGCTTCTGATGATGGAACGCAGATAACGTTGGTTGATTCGTGAGCCTGTGTCAACCGTCCTCATTGTGTCAGGAACGGAATTGGCTGCCTTGAGAGGTAGAGAGTGACCGGTCATCTGTGCTGCTGCGTCTTTCACACCCTCTCTAGGTGTCTGCCTCCTGGGCTCTTTCGGTTGGAACATTGCTCAGCGTCGTCTTCGGCGCGCCGTCCTTGTCCTCGACACTCTGAACTACTACCCCAAGACGGGGGGGCAGACCAGCCAAGGAAGCAGCAACGGGAGACAATTTCGACGCCCATTCAATGAGTTTTTCGCTATCCAGTCCGAGCACGGTGAATGTCAAGTATCATCTACCTCGTAAAACAAAAGTGTGGCGTGCCTCGTACATAGTTGTGGCTGTGAGGCCTGTGGTTGCGGGTTGTCGATTGACTTCGTGTTTTCCTGCCAATCACTGCACACCCCGCAGGTCGTGGTTGTTACTGGTGATACTGGTGATACTGGTGACACTGGCGGCACTGGTGGCACTTGGTTCAATTTCCCCGCGTCAAGCAACCACCAAGCAGCATCATCATCCTCATTCGCATCCTCATCCTCACCGAGCCACTCTAGGCACCAACCACTCCTTCCGTTTCATCCACCGTCTCCCTTCCTCGGTGTTATTTCTTGTTGCTGTTTCATATCTTCTTGCCGCCGGTTTGACCATCCTCAGGCCCAGACGCAAACAAGATGCCAGACGACAAAAAGCCCCCAGACAACGCCATCCCCCCTCCTCCCATGGATCCTTTCCCCACCTATCAGACTCCCTATCCTCGCTCCAACAAAGACGACGAGAACCCATTCATCCTATTCCGTCGCTTTGCTGATGAGCAGTTCTCGTCATTCTTCTCAGGCTTTCCCCATTTCTTTGGCCTCTCCTCCGGCCGCAGTGACCGCTGGAAGAAGGAAGTTGACGACCTGATGCGCCAGAGACAGGAGTGGGAGGAAGGTTTTCGGAAGCAGGTTGAGCAGGAGTGGGAGGAGATGAGACAGCAGTTGGAAAAGTCCAAGATGGAAGCCTGGAAATCGATGGAAGAAGCATGGAAACAACACTCGAATGAGAGCAGGAGTGATGCGAAGGATGCACCCTGGTGGACTCGAGGCAGGGCTGCCCATTGTCCTGCCCTGAACGGCCAGGAGCCACAGAAGAATGCCGACAAGTGTCCAGCCCTCTACGATGAAGCGGACCAACCGAGAACAGAATTGGATGCTTACGATGCGTTACCCTGGAAAGAAAATGGCACACAAGTCTCGGTGGCTGAGGCCTCAGCGGAACAGCCGACCGAGAAGAAGCCTTTCGGGTCATGGTTCTCCGCTCTTGGATGGGACGGCAGGCAGAGAGAGAAATATTCAAGAAACAACGGCAGCAACAATGTCGCGACCGAAGACCGTGCTCCTCGAATCGCGGGACCGATCCCTCCGCCTTCTCCATATTCCTTCTGGGCAGCCCGCCGCATGCAACCGTTCAACAATTCGGACGAGACAATCCCTTGGCTTCTGCTCAGCCCTTACTCTCCCATCTACCTCTGCAATCCTGCACAACCGCGACTTTTCAAGGTCAAGATCCAAGACTCGGAAGGAGTTCCATTCCAGATCTCTGATGCCACATTCTTCGAGAGACTGTATACGAACATAGACGAGAAGATGGCGAGACGTAGGCCCTGGGCAGATGCATTTGAGGATTTGTTGAGTCTTCAGCAGACAGGAAAGATGGTCGAGAGGGACAACTGGAATACCTGGAGGACCCCCAACACTTGGATACACGACATGGTAAGCCGGGGCAGCTTTGGGCCTTTGTGGGGCTTTAACGAACAGGGCATGCTGGTCAAACGGGCTCACGGCCAACGTATTCCAACGACGGCCGAACCTTCATTGAAATTCGAAGACCGGTGTGGCAGATGGCGCCAGAACCACCAATGTCGACGCAACAAATCCGCTGAAGATGCAGGCGCAGAGGAGGAACAATACGTCCCCACAGAACTCAGAAGTAGGCTAGCTCACTCCCCAGACGCCAACAGCTCCGGTGCGATTGCTCCAGACCATGGCGAAGCGGCTACAGAGGAAGGCGATGCAGGCGATTCAGAGGATTCAACTTCTCTCTACACGACATCGCCTTCATTATCTTACTCGTATGGCTCCTCTGCCAGCAATGACAATGACCAGGATGCTACCAAGTCTGTGGTCTCGACCCTTACGACGCTTCGCACGCGTACGTTACCCGATGGCTCCATCGAGTCTAAACTTGTCTTGAAATCGCGCTTCGCGGACGGCTCAGAAGAGATTCAAGATTTTGGGACAGTAAATAGTGCCAACCCGCACGCCTTGACCAAGACGGAGGATAAGGAGACACAAACTTGGCCTCAATCGGACCACGCTCAATTGCCGAAGGGCGAACATGCCAAGGGAAGCCAACGGGATGTGTTCGACATGTATCGAGACCAACTCCGACTGCTTGAGGACCAGCAAACGAAAAAGGATGAGTACCAGCGGCAGCAGGAGCAGGAGTCAGAAGGGTCAAAGCGGTTCCCTCGAAGGATTCCAATTTCGACAGATGAGCCAGAGGCCAAGTCGGAGCACGAGCAGCTGCCCCTGCCAACACAGCAGCAGCAACAACAGCAAGAGAAGGACATTAACGGTGAGCGACCCAGACGGAGTGGCGGTGGATGGTTTTGGAACTAATTGAGTCGCGACAATTAAATTGGACATCGAAGTTAAGGATACGACCAAGACAGCAGGTCGGCACATTCTCTCCTTCTCAATCTCATGTGCAGCTTGCACATTTCGCCTCTAATATATATACTGGCTCTCTCCTGCTTACTGGCTCCAGGAGCGTCGGGCACTGTCACACGAAGACTAAGTTCGCCAAAGACACTCAACACCGATTGGGACTGTCGGCTTCTTCGTCTGGAACGCGATTCCACTTGAAGACGCCCATTTTTCTTCGACGAACAGCATAGGGCTTTGGCATTGATATTGATCCTGATATTGGTATTGGCACGAATGGATGACTGAATGGGGTGTATGTAAATAGTTCTACTCCTCTCTATCTTAGTTGGCTAGTATCCATCACCATCACCACCACCATCCTTCTCTTTTTCTGTTTCGTCGTATACATCGCGGTGCCGCAGTTTCGTAGCGCCTGAGCAGCTTATACTTTATTTGACGTATGAGAGTGTAAGGAAGTCCGTGAATTAAGACATGACCGCCATCGGCCGTGAGCTATGCTATGCTACGTTGCCATGTGATGCCATGCTATGCGTCGCGGTGCGACGCGGTGCTATGTACGTACATACAAGGTGGACGGGGCAACGAGAATAGAAACAGGAACAGGAACAGGAACAGCAACGGACAGCCTCCATTTCACAGGCGAAATCCGCATTGCAGCGCAGCGGACTGCAGCACCGGTCTCGAACCGACCGTGATCAATCATAACCAGACGTGGTGCTGTGGGCGCTGGAATCCGACTAACTCGCTCGCTCGATCGCTCGCTCATGCAACATTTAGAATGCAGAAAATGGATACTAGGGTCGAGGGGGAAAAAAATTCACAAAAACTCCGTGGGACATCAATCACCTAAATTCATGCCGCCTTTCCAATCCTTGTCTCGTTGAGCATTGCCTCGTCAAGCCCCAGTTCATCATATCATTCTCGCATTGCATCGCGCCCCAAGTATGCAGGTGGTTTTGCCGTGTCCCAAACTGATACAATGGGCTGTCATGTCTCATCAACCAGAGCTGCCTGGTTCATTGCATTTTCAATGCTGTCTCACCTCTTTTCTGGCTTCATGTGGTATCTTTTCCAGTCCTTCAGAAAACATCATCTGGCCATTCCCAGTTCTCTTTCTGGATACTCTGCATCTGCATTATCGCAACGTGATGGTTGACTTTCATTTTCCCAATGTCTGCATCTCTGTTTCCAGGTTTCATTTCTGAAACGGACTTTAGACTGAAGATATCATTCGTGGTGCACTGGTTTTCCTTCTGAGTCTGTCCTGCTCCATTTTCTTCGTCTTCTTCGAGAATGACAGAGAAATGATGTGGGAAACCTTCGCCTCTGACAATCGATGAACGCCGGCTCTGCGTTCTTGGATCGTGCTTCGGTTGGGCATTGATGTCTGATGTTGAAATTGCAACCAAACTGCCATCTCCTTTGCTCCTAAGCTGCGGTTGATTTGTGGTGTTGCTCAACGTCTTCAACGCTGCACGCTCCGGCAACGGTGGGACAGGCGGGACCTCTGCTCCGGACTGTTTCCGGCTCTGCTTCTTAGCAGACCGCTTTGGTGGAGAGGCGTCATCTTCGCGGGCTATCCCGGGAGTCTGAGGATGCTGTGTGTGAGAGGGCGATGGTGGCTGAGGAGTATTAGCCCTCAAACGAACCTCCGCTTGCTTCTGTCTTAACAAAGCTCGCAGCTGTTGATTCTCCTTCTCCAATTCCCGGCGGGTTGGACGTTTCTGATGATCGAGGTCGATGTGACCGTCAGTCCACTCGGAATCGGCCACGATGGTCGTAGATGAAGTCTGACTTGAACGTCTGCTGCTGTTTGGTGGTGGCTTGCTCTTGGATCGGACGCGAGTCGTTGCTACAGTGTCTTCTGAGATCTCTTCACCTGTTGTCGCAGCTAGGCCCACGTTGGATTTTCTTCTTTTTATGCCAAATTGTTGAGCGTATGCCTCTTCTGCGCGTCTCTTCCTGTCATTGAGCAGGTCTAGATCGCTGTTATGACTCGGTGCTGAAGTTTTCTTTTCCGGACTGTCTGGCCAGTCTGCTGTCTTCTTCTTGTCACTATGGAGGTTCCACAGCGAAATGCTCTTCCGGAGACCGTTCTTCTTCTTGGAAATTCGTTCTACTTCAACTCTTGTTGTATTCTCTTTTGCCCTAGCCTTGGTGCCAAATTTAAAAAGACGTTGTTTGAGGGTCGGGGCAATCACCGCTTCCGGTTTGAACTCGTCCACGTCGATAGACGAGTGTTGTGGCGATGCTCGCGGGATGGGATCATCGTCTGATTCAGTTCCAGAGTAACTAGTGACTGAAATGTGCTCGTGCCATGTAGAAGACACTCCAGCAGACCTGGTGTTCATGCTCCCCTCTGCAAATTTGGAGGCCCGTGCTGGGAGATCGTCTTCCTTGTGGGGGTTGGGGTCAGTATTTTCAATTGGAAAACTCGATTGCTCTTGTGGTGGGCCTCGACTGGTCTTTGGCCTCTCGTTGACGCCCACTGAATGGGCCAAGGGGGCAAACGGATGTGACTCTCTCAGTTGTTTGCTTGGTTGAAGCATTCGGATGTCTCCCTCATGTGGTTGCAGGAAGATATCATCGGTCAACGGAGTAGTTGTCTTGGGTGTGTATGGCCTACTCCAAGCTTCCCGCTCTTCTGTGATGAAGTACGGCTCATTTTCAGCGCTGTCGAACGTCTTCAAGGTCAAATCGATGTTTCTCCAGGTTGGGCTCGACCGAGGAGGATTTTTGGGGGAAGGACTTTCGCGATATGAGACACGTAAACTAGAGACATGTTGTAACTCTGATCTCTTGGGGCTCGTTGGCACGTTTCGAGAGGGTAAGGTATTATCATTCAACGTTCGAACATGTGCCTGGAACCTCTGTCGAGGTGATAGCGGAGGAGACAAGGCCGAAGCTGGGCAATGGTGGCACGAATCGACCGTAATGGGCGCAGGCGTCGGGGCTCGGGAGGGAGCCATCATCGACTGTGTTTGGGACAAGAGGTGGGCGAATTCTTGACGATTCATGGTGATGCCAATATTGATTATGCCATTACAATTATTGCTAATGCTGTAAAGACCATGCAAAGACGATAAGCAGTTCGGAACTGGATACGAGTAGAGAAGATAGCGGTTGCGTGGTAAAGTGAAAGTTGACTGATTTGTTTACAGTCACCAGCATAACACCGCATGCAGCAAGGGGGGGGGGCGGGAAATTAGTGGGGGGAGTGATTGGCACTGACAGGCGCCGAGGCGAAGCACTTACGCAGCTGTCAGACCCGATTCCTTGGGGATCGACCGCCCGCGTCCGAATCCATAAAGCCCAATTACGACACCTAAAGTTTGGCTTCAGTGGGAACGGCTTTGACTGTTTTCGGCAAGTACGGAGTGGCTAGGTATTACTTATAGGCCTGGCAGAGTAGGGTTTCTTCAGCTCTTATTCGCCTCAGCCATACCCAGTAGGCAATGCACCGCTGAACTTCGCTACTGGGTACCTCTCCCCCTCCTCCGCTCTTGTGGGGGCTACCTCCTGTAAACCTGTCCGCGTTATGAGAAACCCCCGGTGCCCCCTTTTGCCCCTCCCAGTTGCTTGATCACACTGCATCTATGAGGTACAAGGGGTAGAGGGCACTCCGTACTTTACCCATATGGCCGGCATAAATTAATCACCCATGGGTTTCGGGGATGATCCATGTGCGCCTCGCTCGCCTTACATTTCTCTCAATCCTCAACCGCGACTCGACTCATGCTTACTGAATATTTATTGGCATTTCAAACCCACGGGATTGACGACCTAAACTGCACTACCCTACACTCTCAAGGATGCGACACTATTTGTCCGGATGCTGGTATGGGAGAGTCCATGCTCAGTCAAGCACCTCTTAAACCTCCTCGCATGCCTGCGCTCACTATCGCAAGATGAGACTCATCCCACACCTTGATCGAGACCTGTTTGACTACTTGCGCCCATTCGTCGCATGATCTCTTGATAGCAATGGTTGGTGTTCCGGGAAAGAGTAAGGGCTGCAGTACCTGTCGCCGCCGCAAAAAGGGTGTAAGTACTGCGACAGAGCCACCCTCCATGACACCCACTCAGTTCGTTGCTCTAGTGCGATCAGAAACGTCCAATTTGTGGTCAATGTCTCACAAGTGGCAACATTTGCGGAGGCTATGATCGTGAGCGAACCTTTATCCTTCATCCCGCCAGCGAAAAAGTCCAACACGCCATCTTCATCCGTCGTACTAAACCCTCCATCGTCTCTCTCCCAGGCTCCGTCAACCGGGAAGCCGTTGAGTCGCAATGCAAGAGTCTGTTTTGGGACCTATACATGCCCCAAGGAGAGGCTGCCTGCCGGGATGACTTTATCATCCGCTGTGGCCAACCCATGAATTGGACAGAAGTCATCCAAGGTGTCTCGAAACAGGATACCTCCCTAGCAGACGCCTTTTCAGCTTTGAGCATTTCAAGAGTCGGCCAAGGCCACAGGGATATCCGCCTTGTTCACGAAAGTGCAAAACTGTATGGAAAGGCACTCAAAGAGCTGCAGCTCGCTCTCTTCGATCCCCAACGAATGTATTCGGATCATGTCCTCATGGCGTGTATGCTGTTGGGGCTCTATGAAGTCTTCGAGGGTCCAGCATTCAATTCGCGAAGTTGGATGGCACATGCTACAGGAGCGGCTCGACTGATCCAACTTCGTGGCCCCAAGCGTCATCAGACTTGGCTTACCCACCACCCTTTCCTGGCTGCCAGGATCCCCACAATATATGCCGCCATTCTACAGAGAAAGGCAACATACTTGGCTACGGAAGAATGGCGAACGGTGCCCTGGGAATTCCAGCACAGGACCTATTTTGATAGGATGGTCGATCTCGGCATTCTCATCCCAGGTATCTTGGAGCGATTTGACATTCTCCGGGAGTGTGATTCAGACACAGCTTCAGAACTTGCCCAGCTCCTGGATGAATGCAGAGATCTGCAGACAAAAATGAACAAATGGAGAGATGGCACAAAGAAAGGAGCTACTCCACGCGTTGTCGAGCATGACCCACTCGATCAGTCTTGTTATCCTTTCACCACCGACCTGTGGTTCGAGAACCATTTATTCGTCCATGCGCGGCTGGTTTATCACACTTGTTCGCTTGCGCTGAGCGAAGTGGGAAATGAAGTCCTGCAAGCTCTCAATCTCCGAGACCAAAAATTCTTGTACTCGATCGACCATGCATCACTGAAAGAGCTGTTCGATGCAGAAGGCCAAGCAGCCAACGTTTGTCGATGTGTTACTTATTGCTTGCAACCAGAGATGGGAGCTTGGGGTGCCAACATTGTCAATTTTCCTGCAAACCTAGCATTCGCGTACTATCAAAGAACAGGCCACACCGCCGCCACCGATTGGCTGGAGAAAGCTTTCCGGGCCGCAAAGTTGAGAGGACTGCACGTCAACAACGTCTTCGACGTGCTTCTACCAAGCTTTCGAGATGGAGACGATCGCGTGCGGTTTTCCAAGAGAGAATCGAGTACGGAATCATCATCGGATAGCAGTGTGCACTCGCCAGCTTCGAACCAGAGTGTCGCAAGTCACACCTTCTCCAATCATAGTCTGTCGAGTAATGCGACCACTATATTTATCTATGAAGATCCCTCCAAGGACTACGTCACGAACTATGAACCAGACTGAGACGCAACAGTCGTCTATTTATTACAAGACGTGAAGACTGATTGGGTCGTGGAAGTTGCTGAGTTTATCGAAATGAGACAAAGACAATTTCCTAACTACACCAAGTTGGAAGATTGATCGACCTCTGTAACATAACCACGAGTCCTGACAGAAGGATGGCCGGGATTGCCATCTGACACAACCTTTCAGCAGCTGCTTCCTGTATGAGCAGAGAAATCGACAACGGTCCTGCTCAATGTCTCTCGCATCTTTGGACAAGACTCTCGTCCCGTCGGGTTGCAACCAAAGGTGGAGCTGTGCCAGGCTTCAAATTTATCCCCCAAAAGAGTCGTGCTTTCATTAGAGACTGTCCCATAACACGGTTATTCTCCATTTCCTGTGTTTAAGCAGATTCATTGGCGCTCCCAAAGATGACTACAGATGCTCGGCCAAATAACGAGGGTTGAGCCTCACGGCTTCCTCACATTGGCTGAAAATCAAAATCCTTAAAGCGATCCGACCCCATATCTTCCCAGCCAGAAGGACGTAGTCCACAAATGCGAGCTTCGGTCTTCCGGAGCTGGGATCCTTCGCGCTTCCTGGATCCGGCAGCAAGCACATCGTCAATTGAATGGTCAACAGAAAGTACTTCTCACATCAGAAATTCCGTCTTCAGTTGGTCGCCTGGATTAGCAAGTTAGGGAAAAGGTTTCGCTCAGTTTCCCTTTTTCTCAAAGCCAGTCACAGCTCGTTTACATACCGTCCCGACCCTAGTTATTCCAAATCATAGTCTCGGCAGAATGAGAGCACCCAGTTCCTTGGAGCAGGCTGGCTGTTAAATCCGGATCGCTGCTATGACTAATTCTCCCAGCCGCTGTTCGATTGGCCTCAGGACTCCAACGGTCAGCGGTGATAATGGATGGCCTTGGCATCGATTTGAAGCCGCGACTTGGCCGCTTGGGCGCTTTACTCAGCAATCATGTGACTGGCTCACGTTTATCATCGTGGATTACTTAGTCTGACTGGGCACCTACTTGTCTGCAATGCCAGCCTTTAGTCACGGCCGTAAATTTTTTTATTAAAAAAAATGGTTGTGTTTAAATTGTCCGCCCTTGAGAAGAATCTAGTAGCTTTTTACTATTACTATACTTTTGACAGAAGCAAGATGCAATTCAAATCCCCAAAAATATTTGAATATTCCGCATCGGGGAATTGAACCCCGGGCTCTGTGGAATTTTAGTATTCACATAGTTGAGATCATACTTAAGTGCGACTTACGCCGGGTATGATGGTTTTCAGTGAAAACCGGCTATGTTACCATTACACCAATGCGGAGGGTGATTGTTGGAGCCTGCTCTGCACAATTTATGATCTTGATCTTGTTGGTGTGTAAAATGCGGGCAAGACGCCAGGAATGGTTCTAGCGCCTTGGCACCTGGTACAGCCTCGATCCTGGTCCAGGAGCATCGGCGCAGCAAACTGCGTCGAGACGTTACTTTTGCTTGCCGGCTCTCTACCTTTCAAGAATATCATGAGTAAATAGTTGTTCGCTTCCCCTTTGGTGATCGGCATCATAGTGCACAGTAAGACCCAGGCCATGTGCTCCGTACCATACAGGAATGTATATAGATTCCGCATAAACTCCGGACCTGGAATTTGGTGATTCCCAGACCGATGGTGAGATTGGCGAGCTTTCGTGCACTCGGGGCATTTCTCTTTTCCCCGTTTCTCGTCGATGGATCCCTGGAAATCAGAGCAGAGAGTGGCTGCAGGTAGGAGACGGATCTGTGCAAGATCGGAAGGAAGAGGACATACACACGTGTGAGGAAGGGGCTGTTTGGTGGCTGCCATTAGTGGGATCAGAACCATTATTGCCGGCTGGTCTGTCCTCCACCAGCATGCCCGGTCATATTATGCGAAGCATCCTTGCTTCCGACAAGCGGTCCTTGCAAATGCCCTCTCTCAACGTCAATCGCATCAAGCCCACTCTGCGAAATGTGTCGATCACTCCCCCGTCCGCAGGGTGCTCCGTCTGCTCTCCGCCGAGCTCAGCTTCTGAATGTGCTTTCTGGTGGCTGGTTCCCAGGCAAATCTTCGGGCATGGCTTCGGCAAGCTGTCCTTGAGGCCGGCGGCCTTTTCGCACTCTGCGTGTTCGTTGAGGTATTCCGAGAGAAACGAGAATCGGGGAGGGAAATCCAGAGAATTGAACTTGGCCAGTTCTTTTTCCAAGTCCATTTTCAATGCCGGGTGGATTGATCTCACGGTTTGACAGTCGGAATACAGAATTCTACGATCAATGCGGAGTACGGTAGCGAACATCAACGCAGGTGTAATAGATGGAGCTGAACGGGTCTGCGATTTCAGGTGCAACTCACGCCAGGCGTGCCGCTTTTATCACCACTCGCCCTCCCTCTCACCACTCTACTATCTGTTTGACTAGTCGGAACAGCTTGAAGAATTCGACCCGGGATTCTCTGAAGGGAGGATGATGCGGGCGTGGGGAGAGGACATCATTGACTATAGATTGAAATGGCGTTCGCTGGGGGTGGGCATATACATAATGGGTGTAGGCTGCTTGGGTCAAGACTAGTGAGTGTGCCCTCCTTTCGAGCCTACGCTGCATAGCTACAACCTCATCTTGCGTCCTAGGTACATTTATAGCATATGTGCAAAGAAGTATACTGGTTTTCTTGACAGGGCACTAATGCACGTCTGAGAGCTTGAGCAATAAGAATGTGAATGTTCCATAATTTATATTAAAGAGTATCCGGAAGAGCAGCGAGCTCACGACTAGGCGGTAAGATAGCCGCAAGGTCCGTTCATGTCGAATCGCTGCAAGACGCTGCTGGTCAACAATACTCTGCCTGAGTTAGCTTGCTGGCCATTTGCACAGAACGCCGCATCTCCGCGTAGAATACTGCAGACCCCACCATCTGCGTCCCGGATAACATTCTGACAGTTTTGCCAGCGGATCGCCAGTAATGCACTGCACACAACAGTCGTATGCGCTCGTAGTGACGGTTTCTATTACTATGCCGCTCGGATCACCATCAATAACGCCTTGTACGTATTGGCTGCTTGGATTTGAACGGCCAGGATGTTGTTGGTCACCCAGGCGGCTTAGAAGGAAGTTGAAACCGTTGTAGTGTCTGTTTCCGTGGTGGTCGTGGCGATAGTGTTGACTGAAATGGATGTGCTTGTAGTTGTGACAACGGTGGTCTCAGTGTTGCTCACTGTGGTTTCCGTGCTGATGCTTATCGATGGTGATCCGATCTCTATATTCGTGGTTGTGACGGTGGTAAAGACCGTGAGGGTGGATTGCACTGTAGCAACACATTTGATGCTCTGCCCACCTCTTGATCCACGTCCCGAAGACTGGCGTCCTCCTGCCGGAGACCTCACCAGATTCTAGAGACGGTCTAGGACCTAGCGTCTCTCTTTTTGTTGTGCACCCAAAGGTGTGTAGCTGGAGCTCTTGGTGACAGGGGTATATCCAGCAGTGCCAGGAATGGTTGAGGTGCTCGTAGCGGTCGAATCGGCGCAGTCGACGCCGCCGCAAACGTATTTGTGATGGTCGTACTGTCGCTTGAGGTCGATGTCGAAGTAATGGTCGAAGTGAAAATAGACATGACGACGATTTCAGTAGTTGTGACAGGGGACGTACTAGTTGTGGTTCAAGTCGTAGTGATAATGGGGGTAGATGTATCTGTGACCGTTGAGGTCTGCGTCGAAGCGATTGCTGATAGAACCACTGTTTCGTCAAGGTTAAAGTCGACGGGCGAAGGGCCCCATCCACCCTGGAACCCAGAGACAGTGTAACATGTCAAAGATAATGTCGGGCCGCTTAAAGGAGGTGGAGCGCGGACAAGTCATCGAAGTAACAACAAATATAAGGAGGGTGGTAAGCGGCATGTTGGGCAAAACGAATGGACGCGGTAATGACACCGCGACACTTCAGAAACCCGATACCTCAGTACGAGGGACGGGTTACTTACTGGAAGATCATGTCGAAGGGTGGCCAGGATTGCACTCCCTAGATCTTTGTATTCGCTGCCGTGCCAGCTCCTGAATAGATCGACGACATTGTTATTGTCATCTCGCATGGGCTGAAAGGGCGTGCTTTGAGGAGCCCGTTGCTAGGTGACGGTTTACAATGGCTGGACGTCCCGCCAAGATAGTACCTAGTAGGCATTTCCCCTACCATTTTAGAAGAATGGGCTTGCGGGGAGTCGGGGACAATAAGGGATACCCAGTACTGGCAATAGGGACCGCCACATGGGAACTATTGGTGCGGCTCAGTTTCCTCTTACCTGCATTGCCCCGGACTGGTCCTCACACGGCTCTGTCTGAAAAAGCTTCAGGGGTAAGTACCTCTAGGCTGCTTGAATACAGGAGTCTATATATATGTGTGTAGTTGTGAGTCGAAAGTCATTGCAGCTTCGCGTGCTTTCCACCCCTCATCCAAACCCAATATTTCATGTCTTTTAGCCTGAATGCCAGCCCTCAAGCACTTCGATACGCCCTTCTCATGGCTCACGGGGGCTATTGCTCCTTCTGGATCCCGTTGCTTCGGGCCGTCTTATGCCCTCCTCAGGCTGCGCCTTGTCGGGTTGCTCATAGCTTGAGCCAGCAGGGACAGAGAGCGGCAGATTCATTGAATGTGAGTGCATGATGATCTTCTTGAGCCCAGCCACAAAGTCGCTTTGATTCTTGGACTTTTCGGCGAGCTTTTCCTGCGCGATTTCGCTGCGAAGTTCTGCGATCTTCTTCGCCTCTCTCTCCTTAATCTCCGTGTCGATGGCTTCATCCCGAGCTTCTTTCCTTGCTATTAGTTCGAGCAACGTTTGTGAGAGGTCGTCCATGCTCTGGATGTCAATGCTGTTGCATTCCTCGCGATCAAAGTCGGGCAATGGGGGGTTTCTGGGATGTAGAGGCACGGTAACATGCTCAGCCTTCCTTGACAGGAATGAGAATCCGGCACTGGGCGCGGGTTGACCAGTCTGAAGATTCGGTCTATCACCCTTCACAGGCTGTTGCCAGTAAGGCTGTCTCTGTTCATAGGCGTCGACTCCTCCATGTATCTCGTAATAATGCTTCCAGCGGTCCTCCGCTGACAACTTTCTGTGCGAGAGGCTCTTGATTGCTCTAGATTGGCTGCCAGTTGCGTCGTTCTTGTTGGAGTCCCTCAGAGCGTGACGAGTGACGGCGGCAATGCAGGGATTGTGCCATGATTGACATTTCGCATCCTGGCACGTCTCCGGATTCGCGGCGAAATATGGACAGCGGAATTCGGGCCCTCTTCGTCTCTTGGACATTTGCCTATTGCCATCTTTCCCGGAGCCTTCCATACCGTATTCGCTTGCCCCACGCATTGCATCTATCGAGTCAGCGCTCATTCGTTTTGGAAACTTGAGGGCATCCGTGACAAAAGCACTAACAAACCCCGCTGCTGGCTCCGTGGGCTCCACTGTCGCCGGCCCTTCATGACTGAGCGAGATCTCTGTTTCAGTCGTCAAGGTCATATTGATGTCGTCCATAACGCTTAATCCTTCCCAGGAGCTGGCAAGAAGTGTGATTACTGGGTAGATGGTGACGTCTAAGAATCCATGTATTTAGCACGACCGAAACAGCATCCTCAAGGATCGACTTCAGCACGACATTTATAGAGACCCTGATGTGGGTGAACTTGCATACTAGATGGACCATATTGAAGAGTGAAGCAATTGTTGGCTAATATAGGGAGAAATCTTTCAGACAAGGGAGCATGGCAGTCGTACTTCCTGAAATCAAGGGTGGTTGAGCCTCGTGGACCGTGGTCATGTGCCCTGGGGTCACTCATTTTTTCCATTTAGAGCTGAGCCGGGGTACGACTAACTCAAAACTTGGAGGTGTAATGTCTGACCATAAGCCTCGAGCAATGGTATTTTGCATTGAGCTCGGGGCCCAAAAAATAAATACATTGCAGAAGCCGTGTCCATTCATTTCCCTCCAATTCATTCTACCTCTTGAAAGATGCCACAATTGGCAGAACGCTTGAATTCTCCATCCAAGGGATGCCGCTTCATTGTTGGCCTCACCCTGACCCCGGAAGGAAGGTTGTCCGATCACATGACTGTCACTGTGGCATCTTGGCATTTCTCCCCCCCATAACCCTCGCCGTCACCAACTAGTATTTCCTCTCTCTCACAATCAATGAATGTTCAGGCCTTGTCCCCTATATTAATAGGCACGAGTGCTGGCGCCTTGACTCGAATTCTCTAGAGGAAAGAAACACCCAGCACTTCCCCGTGACTGCGGATGTGCCGTATCGGCGTCTAACCACTTGCAGACACGGTCGGTGCCCAATATGAGGCTAGTCGGCGATAGCCGCCTCACTTAAAAAGAAAACTGCAAAGTTGCAAAGTTGCAGGCACCTGACTGAAATTTCAAACTTGCTGTGGGAAGTTCGGCTCGCTTCGCTGTTCGTCGCCTCCTTTTCAGCCTTGCCGTCAGTGGTCCTTCAAGTTACACAGCATGCAGGGATGCAATTCGAAGCTACCTCATCTCTACCTGGCCTTGAATGTCCATCCATCCTTTGCAAATTCCGGGAGCTGATTTTGGTATTCTTCACGCTGTATGGGAACGCTTCATAACTGTTGTTTTTCATGAGGCAGTCCGGGCATCATGAATCCATTCCATTTGCTACCTGAATGGCCGAATAATGCGATGTCCTGCACTGTGGTCTCTCGTGCTTTACTTTATCCTTGCTGATGGTTCTAGATTGGGCTAGCGGGACGGAACGGATATATAATGAATGATACATTCCCTCACGAAATGCAAAGTAGCGAGCGGAGTTGAGGCGTTTGCTAAATTTTTACAGTCTTTCATCAACAAGTTGTCGGATCCGGCAGGTACGTGTATAGATTGTCCAGTATCCTTTCAGCCATGCACTCCTTCATGCATTATATTTTTCAGCCTTGCTGGCCACCGTCACCCTTCTCTTGACCTTCAGTTTTAACCTTTTTTTTTCTCCTTACTCGACATGCTTACCCTTCGCAGCGTGGCTCCAATCCTACAACTCGAGTCCCTTTGGACTCGCCAGACTCGCCAGACATTCGCTCCCCAGGAATAATATACCAACATCCGGACTGCCAAAGGCCTTTGATTCTCGGGATGCGATAGAAGTTGACCCATTGAATAACACGTCCTGGAAATCCCACACCATGTCCATCCCAAGGACAGGCACCGAGCAGGTACCCGCCCCTCAAGCGAACACAGGGTTAGACACCCCAAAGCGATTGCGTTGTCCTGAATACGACGCTGATCCAAACTCGCCTACCACACCGGAGAAGTGTAGGGTCTGGGTTGGCTCTGGGATCGCTGCCGTTACGAGGCATTTAAGGGTTCACCATGCCGAGTGCCATGAGTTGATTGATAGCCTTAGCTCTTCTAAGCTCCAGTCAGTTGATCGGTACCAAAGATATCGTTCTTTTTACAGTGATCTTCGCGGACGTGAACGACGCAAAATCAAGCAGGCCACAGGCGGATCGGGATCTGTCGATTCCAAACCACAGGGTATCAAGGTGGAAAGTCAACCTCTCTTTAATGTGTCGGCACAATACAAGCATCAACCAGACCTACAATCTCATCAGCCAGGAAGTCTACCTCCACAAACGATTTCCCGTGGGATCATGGCTGATCACTCACACTCCGGGTCTGCAGTCTTTTCAGGGATTCCTTCCTCGTTGAACCCCGACGGCGCATATAGACACATCCCAGGGACGAACGGTCGATTTTGCGCGCCAGTGAATGACCCAAGCTTTGCTCGTGAACTTTGTGACCATGCCAACGCCCCCTGCAACTTAGGATCGAATGAGTCTATGGCCATACCTAGCACCACGCCGAAATACCAGCCTCGGGGATGGCCAGATCAGCCGGAAGGGATATCATACTCAGAGAGATATTTACCTTTTGACATGAAGCAGTCTTCAGAAGTGTACGGCTGGGGCAACCCGTACCACGTCCAAGGCTTGGGTCAGCCAATTTCGGACTTTTACCAGGCGACAACTAATACTACATCAGGACAGGCCGTGGGGCAAAATATGGTGCAGAAGCCGCATGCTGTGACGAATCAACATGGTGAACAGCCCTCAAGCAGCATGACCCGCGGGTGTCCCTTGCAGATACCAGAGCGTTCCAAAACCTGCTTCTGTCAGTGTCACCGCGAAGAATATCAAAATGTCTTGTGTTATTTTTGTGAGGTTCATCAGAAAAAGGCATATTGTGACTGCGAGGGCAGAGAAAATTGTTGCGGGTGTCGCTCATCAATTTTGCCGATTGCTCCACCAATTCAGCGATCTGGTTCTTATGGTGTTGGCAAGAGGAATGCATTCTGACGCGGAAGTCTTTGGACATTTTCGAGGCTTGAGCAACCATCCCTAATGCTGAGGACGAGTCTGAGTCTGCCGTCGCGGCGTGAGCGCATGGCCCAACTCCATTTGAGGATGATCGTCCATATGCTGGACATGGTGGAAGAAGCCAGGAATCGCCTATGAACGACGTTGACAAGGATCACGAACAACCAGAGCGCCATATCGCGAGGAGGAACAAGAAACGTGACCGAGACGACGACTCACCCAGGTTGGCCGGATGCGGTGTGGGTAAATGCATCCGGAGGGACATAACAGTCGCTAAATAGGCACACAACAGCTCAGAAAACCGTGTGCGTTACTGGCGGGGAGGTCAACATTGGAGCTCTTCTCCTGTATACCATCACTGATATAGTGATGAAACTTGCAGGGGGGAAACTGGGCGGGAGATTTTGGTGTTCTGGATGCTTTTTATTTTTCCTGTTTTGTCGACGTGTTACAAAAGGGTGGTGAACTATCTGTGTATCTTGTATTGGGATTTATATAAATTGGTGGGTGATTTGGAAAGATCCCAAGGCAAGGCAAGGCAAGGCAAAGTGTAAAACATTACGGTTTGTCATCACGCAAGCGCCTACTAATGTCATCTCCGTAGACCAGTGCGGCACATCCACGTCCGGAAGTCATGATATGTATATATAATAGGTATCTATCTATCAATCTATCTACTATGCATTTTATCTCTCTGGTCGGTTAGCTGCAACTTCTCCAACCCCCTCCTGTTCAATTTCTGAAGGCTGTCGCTATTTTTGGGGAGACAAGGAGGCTTCTAGTATGAGCTGTGAAGGAGATCAATTGACCAGTGACGAGTGTCAATTGCTGAGCACCCACAGTTTCCGGAGGCTCAGATAACCGACAGCGATGCTCACCGCGCTCGCGAGCATGCAAGAGCCCGTAAAAAGGACGAGCGCTTCATATTTACCCACGCCATAGCGTCCAACATTGATATGCTTGAGCAGCATGTTCGCACTGATAGGGCCGGCCAGGACATTTCCGATTCCCTTGCCGAAGTTGAACAGGCCAAACACCGCAAAGGCCGAAGTCGCGTCGGCGGTGACGCCCATTCCCATCCGGGCCCACAAGGCCGTGTAGCCGGCTCCAAAGAAGCCGTAGATCAGTCCGAACGCGGACAGCATTGCGAAGGTCCGGGCCAGGCCCCAGAGAGCGAATACCGCAGCTGCGGGGACGAGGGTCGATGCAAAACATAGGACCGTGACTGAGAGTCTCCGATCTGAGAGGTATCCGAAGCTGAATTGACCCAGGACCTGTGAGACGCACATGATTGCCAAAAGTAAGGAGCCCTGCCTCGAGGTCAGACCGATGGTCGAGGCATACGAAGGGATATAAAGCGAAGGGAAAAAGTACCCCAGTCCCTGCATGAGATTTGAGGCCGTGTAGGTCCAGAAGAGTGGTGTCTTGAGAAAAGTCCAATTAGTCCTCGGCGTGAAGCTTTGCGCTGATGGAGGCAGCCGTCCTTTGAGTAAGGGGATCAACGGCCCCGTCGACACGACCAGACCCAGGGCGACGATTCTCAATGTGGGTGGATACCCGTACTTGTTGAGAAGGGCCTCGAGGGACAACGGCATGACAATACCTGAGAACCCGGACGCGCTGCATAGAATGCCGTACGCCATGCCCCTTCGTGTGATCCAGTACTCGTTGACCATGCTGATGATGGGGTAATAGAAGATAATGAAACCGATGCCATACATGACACCTTGAGTGAAGATGAGACTGCCGACGGTGCGGGCGAAGGACCCGCTCAGTATCCCCACGATACACAAGGTCCCTGTCCTGCGTGTCAGCTGAGAACGGCTCAGTTTCGAATAATAGTTCTTCATACACCCGAACCATATCATCTGCCCGCGATACTTCGCGAAACGTCTCAGTACTGGAATGATTAATGGAGCTCCCATATAGGACATGCCAGAAGCGATGGTTCCGATGACCGAGATGTACCGCTGGTTAATGAATTCAGGTAACTGCGAGTAGTAATTTTGGAAAACCCCGAAGGACAGCGGGAAGCCTGCACCGTGTCAGGGGGCAAAGCGCGAGAAGCACCAACCAGGTATATACGAGCATGTCTATCATCAATACTTACCCCAAAGCAGCGCCTCAAAGACGTATGCTGC